GAATAATTAATGAAAGTTCGGTGCGAACGTGTATGTCAACACCTCACCTAGAAGGAGATAAAAAAACAATAACAGAAAGTTGTAACTAGACTTAATTTTCTAAAGCTTCAAAACGTATCTAAATTTCATCATTCTTATTATCAACAGCTTTAATTAGTCCACTGCTAGATATAGGCTCCTCTATAGAAAGGAGGTTTTGGTCTACTATACCTCGCTGGCCAGACGAGTGGTATAGGGTTCGTTTCAAGTTTTCCTTTTCTTTGCAGTGCTGTTGTCCTGCCTAGTTTTCTCCTTAGTCGGCTCTTACGACACCCATGGAATTAATGGTAACACTCCGTATTCTTAATACGTCACCACACGGATAATGTGGAAAGAGTACTGGAATAGTGTTGCGTATGTACTTGAATGTAGAGAATAGAGGGTGAAAATTGTATGTTATCTAGTTGACAATGTTTTTGTTGCTTTCAAATATAATAATAATAATATTCTACCACATTCACACAACGCCATCTAGTCCCAAACTAAGCAGAGCTTGTACTATGGGTACTAGACAACTGATATAAATATTTAAATACTTTTTTTTTGTAAATACATACATATTATACATAGACCCAGACCAAATCAAACATTACGTGTTCATGCACACAAATGTTTGACTTGAGCGAGAATTGAACCCGTGACCTTTGGAATAGCAGTCCGTTACACAAACCACTACGCCATCAGGTCGTCAATATAGACTAGAATATTCTTTATTGTACACCAATTACAATATGTTAAACAGATATCTACAAGGGGCGGTCTTATCGCTAAAAGCAATCTCTTACAGGCAACCAATGGATTGACAAATATACTACAGTATTTAATAATATTAAATGTACTTGTAGTTCTACCGACTACATCTAGAATTATATTTATATGGTATTTTTATTCTGAGTGATAGAAAAAAAATGACATAAAATGCTTGTGAACCAATAACAAACTACGAAAAACTCAAATTTATCCCAGAGACGGAATTCTATACATCCATATTCTATATTTAATCAGGATAAGGTGATCTACAATCTTCTTAGTGAAACAAAACCTCAGAGAGGTGACATCTTAAGTTATAACGACATCGTCGCTTCATAACTAAGTTCAGTTCCAATATTGTTCGTGGCTCCAATCGTTGTTTTTAATCTTTTTTCCACCAAGCCGTTGAAGTCTGAGGTGAAGTAGTTTGAAAGTTGCCTACAAGTTTGAGTCGAATTTGCATAATTTGGAGTGGGGTAAGAAACGTTTTGTGAGATTGGTAAGAATGTTGATGTTTTTGTAACTTTATTTAATTTTGTTGTATTGCCGTTCTATGATCGTTCGTAATCATGGTCATTTTCGGGAGGGACTCCAAGGGCGGCAACGCACTTGTGACTTTTGAGTTGCAGGTTTGAATGGGCGGCGGTAGTTGCTTACCATCAGGTGACCCGTCTGCTCATTTTCCCTTTTATGGCATAAAAAAAGTGTCAGTTACTCAACATTAATCTCGCACATCTCACACACGGTTGTCTTTTCCCCAACTTGCCTGCTATAACCTGTACTATAGTACCCATACTATTGTATTTCTAAATACGCTAAATACTAATACATGCATATTATAGATAAATTACACCCAGATACAGAACAAGTGATTGAACTCATCAAACAACTGGATCCTGGGTGGGAATCGAACCTACGACCTCTAGCTATAACAATGAGGATTACTAACGACTAGACCAACAGGTCTGCAATCAAATCAGCAATAAAATAGCAAAGGGGCAAGTCCTAATATACTTTCTTACCTGGTGTGAAATTGACTTCATTTCAACCGACCCAAAGCCTTTTGCAAAACAATACCACCACCCCATTTAAGATTAAGTGCCAATTTACACAAATGATGAAGATCAAATACTCTTAGGTATTTACTAACTGTTTGACCTTTCTATATTATAGGAGGCCAACGAACAGATGGGGTATCTGGTTGTAAGTAACTAACGAATGTTCTCTTCCAGAGTAAGAAAGGGTACTAGTTTGGGTTCACTCGATGAAAAGCAATCCGGTCAAGTCAGCCCATATGCGCCGAATCGTGACTCTCCTACGGTCTTTCTCCAGTTTTGAAAAGAACCATTTCGAGAACAAGTAGCAGATGAAATAATATCTGGTGTTGTTTAACCATTTATTGCAATTAATGTGAAAGGCACACAAGATGGAAATTGATATGAAATGGAGTATTCAGACCATGATTCTGAGTAAAAAAAAAATTCTGCCGGAAAATTAAATAAAACCTCCAAAGCCCTGTCCTAAGGTACTACACGTTCGCTGTCTCGGAAGGATGGATTACGACAAACTTCGATATGATGCCTCCAAATTAAATTGGAAACCAGTGCTGGAGGCCACTACTGTTGATGACAAAGTCAACTTGTTCAATACCATCTTAACAAACCTTTACGATCAACACGCCCCAGTCACGAAGATTAAATTAAAGCGCACTCCAGCCCACTGGATAACCGTGGGTGTTCGAGAGGCAACGCGTCGCAGAGATAAGGCATTTCTTAAATTCAAGAGTGACCGCTGTGACGAAAACTGGGCCAATTATAGAGTTGCGAGAAATCGTTGTAATCTGATGGTGCGTAACGCTAAACGCTGCCATATTCTCAAAAATCTGGATTGTACATCTGCTTCAGGTATCTGGAGGTTCCTTGGAACCCTAGGTATCGGCAAATCCGAAAAATGTAACCTTCCTTCGACCTTTGATTTGGATGAAATTAACCGTCATTTCTCCTCATCAGTGCAGTTGGATCACCAAATCAAGTGTCGGACGTTACAGTTCTTGGCGGACTTACCCCGTCCCAATATTGAAGCTTTTCAGTTTTCTCCAGTGGAACCAGGTGTAGTCAAAAAGACAATCCTCTCAATCACATCCAACGCCATGGGATGCGATAACATTAACCGTCGCATGATCATCCCTATCCTCGATCACCTTCTTCCCGTGCTTACCCATATAACAAATTTTTCTCTTGACTCAGGAACTTATCCCACATCGTGGCGTAAGGCGTTTTTCATACCTCTTCCCAAGATCCCGAATCCAACACTCCTGAATCACCTACGACCAATCTCCATTCTTCCCTTCCTTTCCAAAGTCCTCGAGGCCTGTGTGAACCAACAACTGTCCCAACATATTTACCGCAACAATTTACTAAGCCCCTTCCAATCAGGGTTCAGGCCCGGGCATAGCACTACTTCCGCACTGCTAAAAGTGACCGGCGACATCCGAGCAGGAATTGAGAAATCCAAAGTTACTGTCTTGGCTTTGGTCGATTTCTCAAATGCATTCAACACCGTCAGTCAGGATATCCTTATATCTATCCTTTCCTATCTTATGATTGCGCCTGATACTCTGGAATGGTTTTCTTCATATCTTCAGGGTCGCCAGCAGTCTGTCCGCGTCGATGAAATCTCTTCAAGTTGGCGTGAGCTTGACTGTGGTGTCCCTCAAGGTGGCATCCTCTCTCCTCTATTATTCTCAATATTTATCAATCTTATCACCCCGAATCTTCAATGTGCGTACCATCTTTATGCCGTGGACTTGCAACTCTATTATCAAGCCTCGACAGACGACATAAATGGGGCCATTTCTATGGTTAACAATGACCTGGAGGCTATTAGTAGTTGGGCTGATGGGTTTGGTTTGGCAGTTAATCCAGCGAAATGTCAAGCCATCATCATAGGCAGTCCGCGCATGACTGGAAGGATGGATCAAAACAAACTGCCACCCATTACTTATAACGGCACAGTCATTCCCTTCAGTCCCTCTGTTAAGAACCTAGGCCTATTTATCGACTCCAAGCTCAGCTGGTAAACCCAGGTCACCAGCGTTAGCCAGAGAGTCACGGGTACGCTACGAGCCTTCTATCGGCTTAAAAACTTCCTTCCTTCCGAGACAAAAGCGATGCTAGTACAGACTCTTATTGTCCCTATCTTGGATTATGGTGATGTATGCTATTATGACCTGAATGCAGATCTCCTCAATAAATACGACCGCCTTCTGAATAACTGCATTCGATTCGTCTTTAACCTTCGCAAATACGACCATGTTTCTTCCTCTCGTCGTGAATTGAACTGGCTCACGATTCGTCAGCGCCGTCAGCAGCACGCCCTCACCGCCCTCTATTCCATACTCAACTCACCTATTTCCCCTTCCTACCTAACATCCTCATTTCATTTTCTATATGCCAATCACAACAGAACTCTCCGTTCATTAAACAATCCACTTCTGTTATGCCGCACTCATACTTCCGCATGTGTCCACTCTTCGTTCTTAGTCCAATCTGTCCTCCTCTGGAACGCTCTGCCTTTGGAAATCAGGATAGCACCCAGTCGCCTCTCATTTAAGACGAAAGTCCGAGCTCGAATTCTCGACACTTTAGCAGACTCATCACATTCCTAAAGTCTTATATGTTATTATGTTACCCTTGTATGTATTACTCAGCAAGTATATATATGTATGTGTGTCTCAGTATGTATGTAACCTAATTTTAACTTCATGCACCTACTCAGACATTTCCCCACCACCCAAAGGTAGACTGGGAGAAAATGCCTTTGGCATTAAGTCCGCCATTGTACTTTGTTTGTGCAAAAAGTATTAAAATAAAATAAAATTCATCATTTTATTTTCCATTTTTCTGGTTAAAAATGATGGCAAATGTTATCGCAATGAGTCGACAGAACATTTTACCGATAACAATTTAATAAATACCAAAAAACTACAATGTAATTAATCAAACAGCCGAAGCGCGCGGGGCCTCCCCTCCGGCCGCCATTTTGTGTTTGTGTGCGTAGACTGTTTGCTCGGAATACACATGTAGTTATTACTTTTGTGCGATATCTAGGGGGAATGACCTTAACCTTTGACAGCTGATTGCATATAAAGTTCAATTTTCCGGCAGAAAATTCCAATGATTTTCGACTCAGAATGATGGTCTGGACGTCCCTTACACCGTGTATATGTATGGGCCATAAGCACTATTTTTCATCTTGTCACGAACTTCGTGAACATATGGAATAGTAGGATATTGCATTTTTAGATTTATATATTCTATAGCCTTCCTTGGATCGACTATTTTAGCTTCTTGCCCATATGCCCTTAATATGAACCTAAAATTGTCCTTAAATCTCACAGATATTCGGAAATGTATGGACAGATAGCCAAATCCAAAACAGATTCCTGTAGACCCTGCACACCATCTTTGAATGTGTAATTTTGGTGCTTCTTTTAATTTGGAGCTGCTATGATCTGCTCTAAATGTGACGCATGAATATTCCACGTTCGCATATAATGAGACCTGTGGGGACAAAAGACGCTTTTAGTTCAGAAGCTACATTCAAAAGATCAAAATTGCGATGTTTTACTCAAATGATCTAGAGTCCTACTGTAGACGCTTTGAAAGGAGTGCATATGTAAATCTATGCAACTAACATGCTTGAAAAACTTAGACAGGTGGTATTTAGTCTCTTTGTCTTATTAGTCAGTTTCGATATTCCTGTCCAAGTGGCTTCAAGAACCAACGGCCACAGACATATCAAGTTAGTCAAGCAGGCGGCCGACCATAAAAAAAACCAGTTAAAATTCTATCCATTCAGCCATATTTCTTTTAAGTCAATTTTAAACCTTAGCTTCTTATAAATAGACTTCAACTCTGTATTACTGAATTCCATGGCTATTTATTTTCACATGTTATAAATGTAATAAAAAAAACTTACATTATATGAAAAGTGTCCATTTCTATAGCCAGCTACTTCTATAGCATCCCTGTCCGAGTACAATTCTCTTACAGTCTCTTCTCTATCACATGGACCAAATCTCTGTATATGACCCGACACTGAAAGTATATAAGAACATTACAACGTCGTTCAAATTTTGAACACCTTGTTTAAAGATACTTACCTAAACCATGTCTCCGTCTCTCATTAATGTATTACTAATTACATCGTGGACATCTAAAGTAGATATGGACTTATTGCTACTTTTAAATCATATTCATTTGATGAAATGATTGGTTTTGTTCGCTGTGATTACATCTGTGATAAATCACTACTTAGATATGAAGGATTAATGTCATCAAAATCAATCAACCCGACCATTTTTTAGATTTAGTGCTGTTGCGTGTCCGGTGCTAGCGTAATAATAACAATTAGTTGATCTGTGTTGTAGATGAGATAGCCAATAAATAATAAGGTCTAACACCTTACATTGCCACGAAGTCAAAACAAAAGTCTACCAACTACCCAACCAAAAGTTCGTGAAATACCAGATGGAAAAGAAAACGAAAGTTGAACTAAAATCCATTTGATATTTTCTCGTAATTAAATTTCAAATTTTAGTTAAAAAGAGATTCTTTTGAAGAAACAATTCTAAGAGGTTACAGTGTAAGACTCTTCCCCCTTTCATTTAATTTTGAGGAATAGTCTGACATGTTGTCTAAAACCAAAATCCACCATGCCGCTTGCCTCGTTGGCGTTCATCTACACCTTGGAACTCGAATAGTAACTCACGATATGGTTTCAGAGGTACACCTGTCTGCAGAATGAGCTGTGAGCTGAAGTTTTGACGAGAAACTAAAGAATGGGGTTCTTCAAAAAATAAATGTATAGGTTTCTGAAGAACTATTACAATTTAAACAAAATTTCGACTTGGATAGACTTGGGTCTGTGTTCCAAGATAATGATCTACAGATCTAGGATGATCGCACAAAACTACTGTTGATTTAATTCTAATTCTTTTGAAACTTACTTCTCCTAAATATTACATGATTATCTGATATCGTTGTGATAGTTGGTCTTCCAATTCTCTGAACATTACGCTCCACCCACTTGTGATACATGCCATAGTCCAGGAACCTCGACGGTGCCTGACACCCTGGACCATAAACTCCGAAGCCCAACTGCAAAGACAAGCAAGAGCTTTTCAGCAATTTAACATGGCGAACCCTGGCCATCCTATTTTGAAAAAATGGATCTTTTGTTCAATAGTTTATTCAAAGGGCATTATTTTGGTTTATTTTTATATAAATGTTTTATTTAAGAATCTATTTTACAGAATATTTCTTACTTGTTTAAGTTCATTGCTAACGTAAATTTCGAGCATCGATAGACTTGTTATACGATACTACTTGTTCTTAAAATTTACAAGAAAAAGATACAAAATAATACATAACACAATATTTTATGTTTTTTTTCTTGTACATTTTACATTAATATTTTTATCTGACAATCTTCCAACTGCACTGCTTTCGTATCCGCTAATGAATAGTAACTTAAATTAATATAAAAACGTTAAATAAAAATATTCATCTTAAACATATTTAAAGGTATCCAACTTACAAGTCTCCATCTATTGCTACTTTTAATGGCCAGGACTGCTCCACTTCTCCAAACGCATCTTCCTCCACTCATACTCCTAGCGCACGCTGTGTGTGTTGGCCACAAAGATTCTACATCCAGCTGGAATAAAGTACGGAATTTGCAGGCTGTAATTTTAGGCTTTCGCTAAAATAAACAAGAAGTTTGACTGCACGGATGGCGTAGTGGTTTAAGCGATCGCCACGCCGCTTCCTACTACGCCAAGTGTTGTGGGTTCGTTCCCCACATGGGACGACACTTTGTGTGATGATTCACAAATTGTTGTTCTGAGTGTAGGTGTCCTTTGTGTCCGTTTCATGTTTGTTTGTAAAGTCCCCCGCGACACAGGATATATTCCTAATGCGGGAGTTTTCTTTAGAAAAAATAAAATAAAAAAAGTTGAAGATCTACTTCGTTTATTCTTATTTTATCAAATTTGTTGATCTCAGATGTGAAGAAAAGAATAAAACGCAAGACAGAGGGAAAAGTTGCCACTTTGCCCTCTGTCTCACTGTCATTAACAAGATCAATTAATTATTCCTGTCCTTATTCTGGTGTACTTTTAATCTATTTGTTTAGTCTCGTTTTTTATCTAAGACTTGCGTCATCACTTATCTTCACATACATACATACATCTCCATTTTTTAAATTTTGATGTAGAAATAAATTATATTTTCTATCTTTCTTTCTTTCTTTCTTACATTTGAAAACTGTTAAATGTTCAATGTGTTGTGGCATCAGGCTAATATTAGCAATTGGATATAAAAGAAATCGGGCTTTGCATTTTACACATTGCGTTGAGCCTAAATAAAATCAGGAAAAGGGCAGATATTATACAGGATGTAAGGGACGTCGTAACGAATACGGAAATAGTGTATTGAGACCATCATAACCTCAACCTTTGACAGCTGTTTGCATAAAATGTTTTAGTTTTCGGCAGAAAATTCCAATGATTTTGATGGTCGGGACACGCTATTTCAGTATTCGTTACGACGTCCCTTACATCCTGTAGATACAATATACTAGATGTAAAATCATCTTAAATATACTTACATTACTTCTTCTGTAATAGGCTTTACAAACTTTCGGTGAAACATATTGCATTTTATGTATCATAATTTTAGATTTCCTGCAATCTGAAAACATAGCTTAAATACTTAAAAGTACAGTAGACAATTGTACCTTGCAATTGTTACTCTATAAAGAATTTAATTTGTCTAAGGAATAAAATATTTTATCAGTTGTTTGTCCACAGCCTTTGGAAACGGTCGGGTTTCAACAATAAGACAGATTACACTTACCATTCGAAAGCACCAAGGCGAAAAATTGAGGATTTTTAAAATACAATGGTGGAGGACAAATTGGTCGCACTTCTGGAAAAAAGAGTAATTGATAAATATTAATACTGAACGAATGTTGAAATGCAACGAAAGCCTTGCTTATGTCGCACTCGAGTCGAGGCAGTCCGATGATAAACTATCGGTGAGAGGTAAAACAGGTAGGCCGTTTTCCAACAAGCCGTGCGTGGGAGAGCCATGCTTCTACACGAATGGGCAATTCTTTCGTTGCCTTTCACTGAGTGAGTGAAGTTACCGGAGCCCAAATCTCCCCTCCCGCTGACTCGAGCGGGAGGAACTCCAAGGGCAGCAACGCTCCTGTGACTAAAAAAAAGTGTATCGCAAACATGTGGGTGAACTAAAGCGTTTGAGACGACCACTGCAAATCATTGTGTTTTACACATGCCAATATCGTGTTATACTTTTGTTGATGTCTTATAGGCGTAGTGGCGGATAAGAATACAAAGTGTCACAACCCCCATTCGCCCCGTGGGTGTCGTAAGAGCCGGCCAAGGGAGCAAACTACGCAGGACAACAGCACCGCAAAGAGAAGGAAAACTTAATATACCAACCCGTCTGGCCTGTGGTTTATATTAGGCCAAGACCTCTTTTCTAAAGAGAGGCTTATGTTCAGCAGTGGACTATTAAAGGCTATTGATGATGATGATGATGATGGAAACAGGTGACGAAATAACCCTTTTTATCCATTAAAATATTGCTCTAAAGTTACCAGCCGCATCTGGATTCTTTGTTAATGATTAATTAATTAATAATTAGTCCATCTTTGTTAAGGACTCTATAAAAAGCGAGATTTTTTTTTTAGTTGTCATCTCTAACAGCTAAATGGTTTATTGATTACCGTTATAGACTCTACCTATAAATACTAACCTATAAATATAAATCACTTCAGATGTCTGATGTTGTGACAAAGTTCTAATATGATCAGTGAAGTCTACCGTTGATCAAAGAAAACACACATTGTTTCATCATCATCATCAACAGCCTTTAACAGTCCACTGCTGGACATAGGCCTCTCCTTAGAAAGGAGGTTTTGGCCTACTATACCACGCTGGCCAGACGGGTTGGTATAGGGTTTGTGTCTAGTTTTTCTTTTCTTTGCAGTATTGTTGTCCTGCGTAGTTTGCTCCCTTAGTCGGCTGTTACGTCACCCACGGGATGATTGGGGGTGGTGACACTCCGTATTCTTAAACCGTCACCACACGGACAACATTGTTTACTGATCATTATTAGAACAGTGAAACCACGAGTTATCCAAAAGAAACCTAAGAATATTAAATAACAACGTATTCTATAGATATACAACGTATTCTACAAACTTTCGACTTGGTAACTGTTTCGACACCCATTTTCCATTTTACACAAATACACTAGAAAAATTATATACAATACCGATTCTCACTTAAGTCTGATAAGTCTGTTTCCAACTGAATCATCGTTAGGGCACTGAATGTTTTAGAAGAATATTCTGGATGGTAGGAGTAGTCTCGTATTGTGAGGTGAGGACCACTACAGTTGTGACCTAGCACCACACGGGCACGGGCCCTGCAAAAGAAAACAGAACAATAGATAACACAAAATAAATATAAATAGATAAAAAAAGAGGAGATTTTTTACCAATTGCTCAATGATCTTAAATCAGGTGTATCTAACTTATATATAGTAAATACGAGAAGAGAATTTTTATTAGTGTTATCAAATTAGTGTTTAGTGTTATAAAATTTTACACACGTAGAGAATACTTAAAGCAAAAGTAGAAAAATACAGAAAAATAACATTTTGACTGCACGGATGGCGTGGTGCTTTAAGCGGTCGCCACGCCGCTTCCTACTGTGCCGAGTGTTGTGGGTTCAAACCCCACATGGGACGACACTTTGTGTGATCCCCAAATTGTTGTTCTGAGTCTGGGTATTCTTTTTGTCCGTTTCATGTATGTTTGTAAAGTCTTCCGCGACTCAGGATATATTCCTAATGCGGGAGTTGTCTTTTAAAAAAAAAATGTGTCAAATTTATGGCAACTGATTAAAGTATAGGACATGACAATTCAACTTGTAGTCAAAGTTAACAGCTTGATATATGTATATTGGAAATGGAAGTGGTTTTTAAGTTGTGTAAAATACTTTTTATAATGATTTTCCTTTCCCTTCATCATCTTTCAAATAAAGAAGTACATCAACATTACCTAAAATCATCTTTAGGTAGTCGTTCTATCTCTGAAGCAGCAGCCAGGGCTAACTGTCTTGTAACGAGAACCACAGCCGTTGTGAACCGTTTGTAGTCTGCAGCCAAAGAAATAAAATTCAGTTATACTGTTAAATACTGTAAAAACTGTAACTGTAAACTGTACTAATAAAAGTCAGTTAGACCATAGAAATTCATACATGTACGTATTGTTAGAAAGTAAACTTGTTTTAAAATATGGATTTGAACTAAATAACATATATTCGTGGGTACCTGAATACCTATCCAGGAACGCGGCAGTAGATAATACCAGTAGGCACTCAATAGCCACAGGATGCTGTAGAATCTACCAAGCGTTCTGTATAAAGTTCAAGTACATCACTACAGGATAATAGATTGAAATTCGTCAATCCTTGCCTGAGGCATATCACCGAAGCAACACCTAAACGCGGCAGTATCAACAGCATCCTAAATACATTATAATATTGCACACGTACTACACACACACACACACACACCACACATCACACGTAGCGATTCGAGCACTTTATAATTTCAGCAATCGTTGTTCATTGAGGCAGAAATTTAAAGAAATAAATATAATGAGAGTGGCAAGTCAATATATTTATGAAAATGTAATATACATTTGTTCATAAAAACAAAGATAGCTTTTTGAAAAAAGTGATGTACATGCCATAAATACCAGAAATAAAAATAAACTTGTAGTACCCGCCTCTAGGCTCCAAAAGATAAACAAGTCTTTTCGAGGTCAATGTGTTCGATTTTATAATAAAATCCCAAATAATATTCAAGAGTTAAGTATTAACAAATTTAAATCCGCAATAAAACGTGGCTTGTGCCAGAGGGCCTACTACTCGATTGTGGATTACATGGAGGACAAGAATGCTTGGGATTAATTAGCATAGGCTATTTCTTTCTTAAGTAAAAATGTGGTGTGGCTAGTATGTTTTTTATTATTATTATTTTTTCTATTTTTTATGTTTCACTTCATTTTCTCTTGTATTCGTTTTTTTTCTTAATCTTGTTTTCTCTTCATTGTCTTTTTACCTTTTAGTCCTTAATAACGGACATACTAGCACACATCAAAACAATGTTGTGGTATATTTAATAGTGCCATTGTATCTACCTGTGAATTGCAAAAGAGTGGCCATGAGTTTGTTTGCCCTTTCTTCTCATAAGGCTCAACCCCTTCGAAACGGGCGGTTGTAGATCAGCACAAGCATATCATAGGTTTTGTATGGGTTTGATTTTTGTTAAATTGACAAAGCAGAGATTGTTGCTTTTGTGTGTGTTGATCTATGATTTTAGATTCTACATGGAAAACGATTTCAAACCATTTTGGAAATTTTATGAAATAAAGAAAGTTTGAGTTTGAGTTTGACGTAGAGCATTGGATACCCGCTGCGCATACCTTACTCATAGAACACGTGTGTAAAATGTCTAATTACTTATCACCTTACCGTATCATGGGAAATTAACATCTACTGCATATACGTTTAAGTTTCGTATTCAACTAATCTTTACTGTTAGTTTCTTATTTGTTATAGAACGTGACCTCTACTTACACTAAAATAAATAACATTACAAATTAATAAACAATAATATCCTAAACTACCCACACATAATAGATAAAATAAACCTAAACACAGAACTGGAAATCGTACTCATTCCATATTTATTTGTCCTGAGTTGGTACCAAGGCACGATACTTCAGAAAAACAGGCTTTCGAACCTAATAAGCATAGACCTAGCTACGCTGTGTAAAGAGCGATTGAAATTACGTGATCTACTAGTTACTTGCAAGGTTTCTGCATATGTTTAGTAACACTAGTAAAAATTAAATATTTAAAGGTTTAACTAGCCTATCACGAGAATACACTCACGTATGGGGTAGTACAATATGCCAAGCCATGGATAAGTTTCGATTTGCGCTTGACCTTCGTACACCATGTTCACTGGTGAATTGTCTATTCCACATGATGACATTGACAAAGCTGAAATAATTAATATGTTCAAATATAAATGATTTTATAAACTAGACGCCAACTTCTTCACGATTTTAAATTAAAGTGGTAATAAAACGTTTACTCATTCCAATTTATTGGGATTTTGCATTAATATGATTAGCATGACTTTTTAGTAATACTTGAATAATAATAATAATATATCTCTCACATCTCACACACGGTCGTCCGATCCCAAACTAGGCAGAGCCTGTACTATGGTAACCAGACTACTGATAAGCATACTTTTATATTTTTACATATATATTATAGATAAATTACACCCAGACAGAACAAATGACCGTGCTCATCAAACAATATTTGTCCTGAGTAGGAATCGAAACCACGGCCTCCGGCTTAGCAGTCAGGGTTGGAAAATACGAAACCAGCTAAAACTCTTTTGCAATGTTTTATGTGGCACTGACCTTACGAGTACATAAAAATTAAGACAATGGTGATGATACATTTTTTTATGATACTGAATATAAACAAATAGAAGGTACTTAATTTCAAGTGACTATTACAGTCCATAGACACCTTTTTTTTTCCGTGCGGAAATCCCCTCGGATACCACCTATCGGTGGCATGTCGGACTCTATAGACACCTGCAATTTGAGAGACTCGAGTGCATTGACACCCTCTGAGTAAAGAATTAAGTGGGGATCGGACCACCAGCAATTTATAATCTCACTCACTTGGTGAAAGGCATCAAAAGCGGTAGTTAACATATGTTATCTGCGAGGTGGTAGTAGAACTCCGGTTGAAAACCGTTTCAACCGGAGAGAGAGAAGAAGAAGAGAGAACCATGTTTCTGCACATATGGACCGTATGTGCAGAAACATGGTTCTCCCATTTATAAATAAACTAGCTTTTGCCCGCGGCTCTTCCCTCGTGTATGTTGATCATCGCAGTAGTAAAAATATGCCTATGTCCTTTATCAATCATCAATCAAACTATCTCAAAACAAAATTTTATCTGAATCGGTTCAGCGGTTGTGACTTCCCCATACAAACTTCCACCCCCCTTTTTACCCCTTTAAAGGATGATTTCTGAGATAAAAGCTATCCTATGTCCTTTCCCGGAACTCAAACTATCTCTATACAAAATTTCATCTAAATCGCTTCAGCGGTTTGAGCAAGAAGACTTAACAGACAGACACACTTTACTCGTAGCATTTATAAAAAAAAAAAATTGAATTATTTTTGCATAAACAACAATTCATTGTACAATGGCGGACTTAATGCCACAGGCATTTTCTCCCATTCTGCCTTTGGGCGGTGGTTATATTCTTTAATAGTTCTAATTTCAAATAATAATAAAATTATCGGACATCTGACACACAACGCCATCTAGTTTCAAACTAAGCAGATTGAAAACTTGATTGACTATATATTTATAAATACATATATATTATACATAAAAAACACCCAAATTCCAAAACAAAAAAATGCAGAAAAAAAATATATATTGAATTATTTTTGCATAAACAACAATTCATTGAACAATGGCGGACTTAATGCCACAGGCATTTTTTCACAGTCTGCCCTTGGGTGGTGGTTATATTACTATAGATAAATCATCTATTTCCTACTAAATAATCTGTATAAGAATCTTCAATCAAAATATAAAACCATTGTTAATTCTAATTTTATAGGCCAATATTAACTTACCTTGAATCAAACAGAAAGGAAAACCAAATATTAAACTGAGTGTCTTCATATTTCTTTTCAAATATATTGTTTTGTCACTTAATTACTTTAAACTGTGCTATGATATCATTTATACCACAATCACTGTTAGACTTTGATATTTTTCTTTTATTAAGAAAACATTACATCAGTTCAGACTCAGTATTGATTGACACAATCATATGCATGTCATGTATCGTATCTTTTTGTAACACAGTTTTTAATAAATTAACAATATTCCCTGTTCTGATAATGCGATCCACTCTGGAGTAAAACCATCAAGACTAACCAAGGTATAAAAGCCCAGCACTTTCTGCCCCATTAGTCTATTCGACTTACTCATCAACACCAGGGCATTAAATAGAGGTTTCTCTTCCTCACAGTACCAAAATCCTACTACAATGACGTATGTACTGACCAGTCTCTGCCAACTACAGAGGAACTCCAAGGAAGAGAATGATCCTACTTAGGCCTGCGGGGTATTGTCTCAGGAGTTTTCTTCCTCGCAGTTCTCAGGAATTCAGTAGCTAGCCTATCAGACTCTGTTCACTACCATTCCATATATGAAAGAAACCAGCTAGAAGCAAGAGGAGTTCCTCTAGTCTTCCAAAGAATTAAAAGAAATATTTTTCTAATCAAACAAACCAGGTTAGGTATTGTGGATTTTTTCTTTATTTACGATACTACCTCTCTTAAAACTTACACACTAACAAAAACTACTAAATCCCACTTGAACTATTAAAAACGAACTGTGTTAAAACTGATGTAAGGAACCTTTTATAATGTCGAATTTCGTCATTACCCTATCAACAATAATTAAATATGTTTTTTTGTTGTTGTAACTTCCATCCTTTTTAAAATGATTGCTGTTGAGAATCAAGATTTTTTAATTGATTAATTTTGTACATTACTTCCATTAGAATTTTACATCGAGTTGCCATTTTTTATGCATGTAGGAAAACGTTAGAGTTCGATATTATTAGAGGAGCGTTTCATGTGTCGAGTTTTATTACAAACTTAACACAAACTGATCGCAAACTAGACACATTCTGTTCCTTCTATGATCCTATATTTCTTTCTTCCACGAAAAATCCGGGTCGTTGATTTTTTGTTGTATCAATTAAGAAGAATTCATTTTATTGTGACCTATATCGATATATAGGAGAGTTTCTTTTAAAACCACAGAGTTTGATTTTAGTTTTTGGTATCGAAGAATCGATCCCCAAGATGCACGAACTACGCATATTTGTTTCTTTCCTTGCGTAACATGCCTAGCTAACTAGTTTTTCGTGTTTATATGTTTGCTTACGGAACCCGCGGAGTGTGAGTAAGTTTTTTTACAGTACAACCTTCAAATACACTACCATATTAACGAAGAAAAGCGTGTGCCCACCCCTTTATCCCTAATTAACTAGCTTACGCTCTTGTTTGTAACCACAGCTAGGGTTCAAGTTATAATTCCAGCTTTAATTATCTGGGAATCAGTGGTTCAACCGTAAAAGGGTAACAAACTTAGCCACGCAGAGTTACAACAAGCCGATTTACTAAATTAGATTCGTCCAAGTTCTTACTTGTTTGAAACTAAAAGTTAATAATAGATGTAATTGGACCTGCAGTTCTTAATTCAGACAATTTGATACATCACTGCTTATAGCTTAAACTCATATAGGTTGAAGAATGTTGAAGAAAAAGACAAAAACATTAAGTAGTGATTGAAAAGGAGAGAAGTTCAAATTATTTGAGTTTCAGCAATGAAAAGATGTAACATTGATTCGCATCTAGTTGCCCTACGCTGCGAGTTCAATTACTTCTTTAATAGTTCTAATTTCAAACTAAGCAGATTGAAATACTTATATATTTACATAAATAAATACATATTATACATGAAAAACACCCAAACTCCGAAACAAATATTTGCAGATCATACAAACCTTTGGTCCGACCCAGGAATCGAACCCGATACCTCAGCACAGGAGTCGCATACGCGACCACTGCACCACTGAGGCAGTCAAATGTATTTCTGTATAGGCAAGAAGGAACATCCTACTGTTTTTATTTTTTTCACTTTTTTATTAAAAAGTTCACTTATTAGTACTTAGGCTCGTGTCTAAATGGTAACCGAGTAGGTTAACACATTGCAAAGTTAAGCAATCCTAGCCAGGTCAGACCATGGATGGTTGATCATTCTTAACAAGTTGAGACCCTTGCGTGCCTTGGAGAACATGTTAAGCCGTTAGTCCCGGTTGCCATTCGAACATGTGCGACAATCGTTACATGTAGTACAACAGCCTCTCTACAGAACTTCGATATCGCATTGTACTTGGGTTGTGGAGATCTGATGGCAGTCGCTCCGCGTAAATAATCGAAGTTCAGCCGTATCATAGTTAAAATTGACCCCCTAGTTTGTGAAGAAAGCTCGGAGGAAGAAGAAGCTTTACAAATTGGTTTAATAATTGAAAAGGTTACATTCAGCCATTGACAGGTCTTCACGAATAGATAACAGTTTACAATAAGTAAGTGCGAGGTTTTAATAATTAAAAGCGATTATAAGTTCAAGAAAGAATCGAGTACAACACTTAATACAATTAGTATTTTGAGAAGAACTCAAGACTAAGTGACCGTCTCACCACCTGCTGACTAGTCGCAATACGTCAAGTTCTAAATGTTTAAATTTTTTGTTAATAGTATTGCTCGCTCGCCACAGAAACGTATCCTGGCAATAGTTCGCCGAGACCAATGGTAAATGAATGGTTCCCTTATTTCATTCATTAGCTATCGACGAGTTTATATTTTATTTAAAAAAAAAGCGCGAGCGTTACAGTCAACACATTGATGTAAAAGATCTGAAATCTTATCTTAGTCAAATCAAAAAGAGCGCGCTTCCTCGGTTTCCGGTCCCTCACTTCCGTCCCATTTCTCGACATCTGTCACAACATTAAAGGAACTTCATGTTTTCTTCTTTCATCATCCTTTGAAATATTTCTGTTTATCATTACCGAAACTAAAATTGGCAACTATTATTTAATAAAATACTGTTGGCGTCATTAATATTATTAATTTAGGCTCTTTCCTAAATCGTGATTTTGAATCTTAACCACAAAATTATTCCTTATGAAAACATAAGGTTTTAATTTCGTATGAATACTTAAACAGACAATTTTATGTTTACAATACACGTTCTAATGTAATTTGAACACAATTTCATTCATTGATATTTGATACAATTCTCGGACTATCGTAATTATACAATGCAATAGTCCGAATGTAAAAGTTCTTATATTTGCATTGTATACTTTGAACCATGGGCGTACCCACAGTGGGCAACGTGGGGCGCTTGCCCCACCCTCCACCGTGACTTAAACCCGTTTTTTTACGTGACTAGAAATTTAAAACATTTCATGAAGTATCTACAGGTTCCATTGCAATTCATGATAAATGGTCACCCATCCATAGACTTACCTGGCTGTGATTGCTTAACTTTGCAATGTATTTATGTACTCAGTTACCACTTAGCCACGAGCTCCTTAATTTTGTCCCACCCCTAACTAAAAGCTGAGTACGCCCATGTTTTGAACAGATATTTGATGAAAAGCAACGAACACCACTGCAAGCAACACTGGTTTCCTGTAAAGATGTGGTATCACTGATATCGAGCTTACCCACACGTGATGTCAAATGTCCTATGCCATTCCTCAAAAATACTCTATCTAATTTAAAATATTTCTTCGTATTCGACTGGTAGTTCCATAGATTAGTGCCTTTTAACAAACAAAAACCAAAACAAAGATTCCTTCAGATCGATTGTATTGGTATAGGTTTAGTTAGAACTACTCAAAACACATTCGGCAATGACATTTCAATAAGTATTATATTGTTTAGTTTTTAAGGTCATAATTGGGAAGATCACATTGGCAATGTAACATTATAAAAAATGAATAAATAAGCTGTACATTTTTATTTTATCAATATTACTTCTACTCACATGCTTTGTTTCTTGAACACAATATAACCTAATAAATTTAAACCTAATTAACGTTTATAAAACCTTAAAAACATTTGTTGTACAATACGAAGCCTAATTTTGAAGAAAGGTAACAATTATTATTAAAGACACAATACACTATTACTAATTAATATATAATATGAAACATCATACTTTAATTATTAATAATAATAATCTACCACATTCACACAACGCCATCTAGTCCCAAACTAAGCAGAGCTTGTACTATGGCTACTAGACAACTGATATAAATACATATATACTCGTACTTTTTTGTAAATACATACATACATGCATAGAAACACTCAGACCAAATCAAACATTAAAAGTTCATGCACACAAATGTTTGACTTGAGCGGGAATAGAACCCGCGACCTTGGGAAAAGCAGTCCTTTACACAAACCACTATGCCATTCAGTCGTCAATTTATTTTATAAAAAAATACCTATCTACTTACTCTTCTTAATGATACAAAACTTAACAATCTATTCATACAAACTATTAACAGTAATACAAACACAATCATACACTAAACATACTCAAAAAACATAATTAAAAGAAAGACAAATAATCTATTGGACTTTTGAGATAACTACGAGCGTCAATTTCTCCTTTAATTTTGGAATCAGTAAAGTAAGTAAAACAAAAAATTTAATAATGCAATGCAATAAATACAACTCCCGCACTAGGGACAAAGCCTGTGTCGCGAGAGACTTTACAAACATATATGACACGGACACAAAGAACACCCAGACTCAGAACAACAATTTGTGAATCACACAAAGTGTCGTCCCATGTGGGGATTGGACCCACAACACTCAGCGTAGTAGTGATCGGCGTGGTGACCGCTTACACCACTACGCCATTCGTACAGTCAAATAATAATAATAATAATAATAATATTCTACCACATACACACAACGCCATCTTGTCCCAAACTAAGCAGAGCTTGTACTATGGGTACTAGACAACTGATATAAATACATATATACCTTGTTTTTTTTGTAAATACATACATATTATACATAGAAACACCCAGACCAAATCAAACATCAAATATGTTCATGCACACAAATGTTTGACTTGAGCGGGAATCGAACCCGCGACCTTTGGAATAGCAGTCCGTTACACAAACCATTACGCCATCCGGTCGTCAAATAATATACAACGTATCAAGATTATTCAGTCATCGTCCATATTTGGCCACCTGTTTGAAGCTAACTTCTATGGGAATGGAATCGTTTTTACACGGCACAAAGGATTAAGTTTAGTTATGATAAAAAAAAACGGATAGACCGAGGGAGCTAGGATGACGTATACCGCTGGTCTCGCATTGAGACTGCAACTGAGAGTACAGCCGCTCAAAAAGGCCGAAATGACGAAGAAGTATAACCAGTCCTGTGATTAAACACATAAAGTCACTAAGTAAACTAAATAGATCATGTTATTTAATGTGCTCCCAATGTCTGCTGTCAAAACATTCCAGGTGTCAAGATCCTTGATGCATAAGCTAAAACACATGAGCGAATGATATCTCTCGTTAGATGCAGAAGCTATGGATTTTATTACGTAATATTGATGTAGTAAACTTAAACTTTTACCCAAGAGACAAAATGTTGAGTATTAGGCATTGTAATCCTGAAAAGGAATACCATCCGTTTTGTCCCACGGCAACGGTGGATGAGTTTTTCTCTGATTAAGGTAATATAAAATTCTTTTAGCATCAATATACTTAAACTCTCTTCCAAAAGCTCTGACATTGTATTCCAGCTGCTGTTCAAAAGTTATTTCTACGTTGAAAAATATTGTCATAGAATTTGCTGATCCACACATCATATATGGACTGTGACACCATTTATGAAGTTTGAGTGATGCCTTGGAGGTTACTTCGCCTTTATGCCATATACGTAAAACAATGCAAGAATAATCGGATTTAGAGTGTAGTGTTAGCTGAAAAGGAAGTAAAAAATCGCTTTTTAATACCCATCACAATTTTCAAGAAATGAAACAAGAGATCAGCAATACACATAATTATAAAAGTAAATCATTAACAACAAACTAAAAAAAAAAAAGGTAAAATATTAATAATTGTTGCGGAGCTGGACATGTGTCCGTGTGGTGACGGATTAAGAATACGGAGTTTCACCCCTATTGTGTCACCATCCCGTGGGTGTCGTAAAACCTAACCAAGGCAGCAAACTACGCAGGACAACAGCACTGCAAAGAGCAAGCAAAACTTGAAACAAACCCTATACCAACCCATCTGGCCAGCGTGGTATAGTAGGCCAAAACCTTATTTCTAAGGAGAGGCTTATGTCCAGCAGTGGACTATTAAAGGCTGTTGATGATAATCATGACCTGGGCATCTTGGATTAAATCCCTATCCAGGATAAATATGATAGCAAAGACTTTGCCTATGTCAGACGTCCTAGTGTGGGAGTTGTCTTGTCACAAAAAAAGAACAAAAAAAATCTAAATCTCTTTTTTGTCTAATCTAAATATATTTTGGATATATTTAGATTATAGATTGGATTTTAATCTAAATATATTTTTTTGTCAACCGAAAATTATATATTGAGAGTTAAAAATAAATCCCATGACATATGAGATGACGAAACTCTTTTTCTTTTTAAAAAAACAACGCTCGCATTAGGAATATATTCCTGTGTCGCGCAGGACTTCACAAACACACATAAAACGGACACAAAGGACACCCAGACTCAGAACAACAATTTGTGGATCACACAAATCTTTGAAATTATAGTCTAAAAATACTTGCGTTATAGTTGGCTGTGCCTACTGTGCCGTTCCTCAATTCTTGCGTAGGAAAAACTGTAGTTAATTCGCTATAAATCTCTTCTTTGATCTCCTCTATGTCACACGGCCCATATCTCTGTATATGTTCAGTAGCTGTAGGAAAAATTAGCTCAGATTAGATCTTGACGAAAAATCACCGACACAATGAATGACACGCCGTCATCGACATAATTCTTGTATCGACACAGTTCTGCTAATAGTGAAACTATTCGGACTCTTGTGAATAGTACTGCCACTCTTCTGTTCCTGTGCTGGACAATAACAGGAGAGTACTGGCACCCATCACTAAATACTGCAAATGGGTTCTTATTACATTTTTTTTTATCCTAAGATTATCCGTAACAAATTTCAAATAAACATAAGATTTTAAAGCTCGGACTTAAAATCAGTCAATCGAAGCCAATTTGAGTTACAGGTATGCAACTCAGATCTACTCCAGTTATTGTTTACATTCCCTGATCTAATAGTAAAATTAATATCCCTTTCTTCCCTTCTTGTCTAACTTTTCTTTTTATTTACTTTTCCTTTTATCTTCTAATCCTAAAAATATTGGCAAGAGAGTCACTCCCAATTACGTAATATAGTCTAAAATTACATAAATATGTCGTCTAAAATACCCCCTCGGGATAAGGCGTGGGTATATGTATGTTTGTATGTATACATGCAACATAAGCGAAATTTATTTCCATTTCTATTCACAAACCAAATAGAAAAAAAACTTGCATCGTCGTAATATAAGATGGCCAGGACCCATTCTGGTGACAGCCACTTTGCCAATCCTAGCGATGGATCTGGCTACCCAATAGTGGTACCTGCCATAATCAAGAAATCGTGATGGAGCCTCACATCCAGGACCATACACACCGACTCCAAGCTGAAAATAAAATAAATACAAACGCTAATTTACATCACCCTAAATAAACACCTTTAGTTTTTTTGTTTTAAGCCACTTTTACAAGACAACTGATTTTGAACGCATATAATATATTTAATATCTGGTAATATATAAAATTTAAGATTTCAAATCTATCAATCGGATTTGAGTGCACGGTAGACGGAGAAAATAATAATAATAAAGGCACTGCCGTTTTTTTGAGTAGATGTGCCTAAACTACTCTACTATAACAAAGAAACAAACTCACATGTAAATTTATATTAAGTATAAGTAAGGATTAAGTATAGTTAAGGATTAAGTCCGTGTGGTGACGGATTAAGAATACGGAGTGTCACCACACCTATTTATCCCGTGGGTGTCGTAAGAGGCGACTAAGGGAGCAAACTACGCAGGACAACAGCACTGCAAAGAGAAGGAAAACTTGAAAAAAACCCTATACCAACCCGTCTGGCCAGCGTAGTTGATGATGATGATGATCTATTAGCTGACTAATGTTTAAGCAATTTATTACTAAAAATGAATGTGACATAATCTTTTCAGAGTGTGCCAAATTCAATTTAAATAAGAATAACTTACTAATCGCCATTTTCCTTGTTGTTTAGTTACAAGCACGGTCCCACTTCTCCACATACAACTGCCACCTTTTAAACTTTTAGCGCATGAAACGTGTTTCGGCCATAAACTTTCGACGTCCAACTAGAAAAATATAAATATAATATTTATTATTATAAATATAATATAAATAACATATAAGAAAAATGAAAATAAATAAACAAGTGCACGGTAACCAAACATATAGAGAATTGACATTTTATACTGTGAGAACTCTAATTTATTAATTACACAACAGAGTTCTTAACAGCATATGTTCAATTGTAGTTTTTTTAAATCAAAGTATTAGTAATATGGGTTGCTTTTAATGTTTGTTAACCTCAAGAAGTTTGACTGGCATGGCATGGCATTTGACTTAGCATTTTTACGAAATACTGAAAGCAACTAAATAATATAATTTCTTTGCATCATAATGAAATCTAAAAGAGCATCATAATACCGAAAGTAGTACTGTAGATTTTAATCTATTCCTTATTTAAATAAGTTAATTTTACTAAAATTATAATCTTAAATAATATAAAATGGGGCTATGACCGCCTAATTCGACTACTTCGTCCGACTGATAGGACATTTTTTTTCCCTGTTGGTTGATCTGTTGGTTGATTGATCGGACGCACCGGACTATTTTTTGCTGTTGATTCGACTGATCGGTCGACGCAGACTTTTTTCTCTTGGATTGATTGGGCGGTGGGTACTTTTTTCTCTGTTGGTCACGCAGTCAAAGAGAAAATTATAGACGTTCGATTAGTAAAGTCGTGTTTTGACATTGAATCAAAAGGAAAAAAGTCCGCATCTTCCGATCAGTCGGACGAAGTAGTCGGAAGGCCAAGTGCGAGTTTATTTCACTTCTACTCGATCATCACTGTGACCGCGTTCGGCGCTGTGATTGGCCTGCACTAAAATCTGCACCAATCGCAACACCAAACGCGCTCGCTATCGACCTCAGGACCTGAAACGGTGCTTACGTCATTTCTTCTGTAATAATCTCTGCACTCGTTTAAGTCCACATACTCCATTTTGTAGACTCTGACCATTGCACTAGAGCAATCTGAAACAAAATGTTTATTACAAAGAAAACAAGTAGGTACCTATTATTTTTTGCATTGAGTGGTTAGTACTCATGAACTATCTAAACAAAATACAGGTCCTTGGTTAGTGATGTATATATAATAAATTTGCAAAGTCAAATATATGTAGAACGATGGTTTTTAAACTAACAATAAGTCTTAAATTACCATGTTTTAAAGTCATCGCGTAGATATCGGGTTCTTCAAATACCGTCGGAGGTGGACAAATCGGAATTATTTCTGCAACACACAAAAGGGAATAATATAAACTGATTGTTTGTGTAGTTCAGAAAAGTAATGAATATTAAATATGTGTTATATTTTCGATAATCTAAAACTATTTAGAACAACAGCACTGCAGAGAGAAGGAAAACTTGACACAAACCCTATACCAACTCGTCTGGCCAGCGAGGTATTTATTTTATTTTTATTTTTTTTTAGGGATAACAACAGCTGCAATTCTTAACTATGTAGTAAACTATGATTACATGAGTAGCCAATAAAAGTTATCCACGGTAGATACAAAGAGTGGATGAATATGCTAACAACAATACATAATATTAAAACTGATTGGTAAACCTTGAAAAGATGGGTGAATAGATGTAAAATATGAAATATAATAAATAACTGAAATAAATAACACATACTAATATATATAAAAATATGGGAGAAAAATTTAATTGAATAAATACATTAAAAGATTTATTTCATCTAGAAACCTATAAAACCAGCCATTCAATGCAATGATGTTGACATTTTAGAAAGTCTATGATGATAGTAATTTAAGCGAAACTCGTTTTTTGAAATTATCCTTAGAACCGATGAATATGTCCACACTATTAAAGTGTTCATTATAAGAGTCGAGTAAACGTGATATTACACCATTTCTACCGTAATTAGTCGAGTGAAATGAAGTGCAAAATAGTGTAGTGTGTCTAGTGCGTTTCTTGGGTACATTAAACTTAATATTATTTAAAAGCATAGGACAATCGATCCGTCCTCGCAAAATGTCATAGAGTAACCCCATATCCATCAGAATACGCCTTTCCTCGAGAGTTAGTAGATTGTAAATACGACAATTTTCTCTGTAATCATGAAAGCTGTGACGAAATTTAAAATTAAGGTGATCTATAAACTTTTTCTGGATGCGCTCCAGACTGCCTTTGTGTATCGCATAACAGGGAGACCATATCTGACAACCGTATTCCAGTAAACTACGAACAAAAGCAATATAAACAACACTTAAGCTCAACAAACTCTTGAAAGGTAGGCAAGATCTTAGGACAAAACCGAGATTGCGAAATGATCTGCTGCATATAGCATCAATGTGCTGCCGCATGGACATCTCCGAGTCCAAGAGTATACCCAGGTCTCGCACAACCTTGACCCTCTCGATTGCAACGCCGTTAAAACTGTATTGGTAAATGATAGGATATCTTTTACGGGTAAAGGATATACTTTGACATTTTTTGATGCTAACCGTGATATTATTTTTAGCGTAGTACCTGAATAAAGAGTCAAGATCCTCTTGAAGCAAGACACAGTCAGATAAGGAGTTGATGGATGTGTAAATCTTTTTGTCATCAGCGTAGAGTATGTAATGTGAGTGCTTGATGTGGTTAATTATGTCAAAAATATAGGCGTTATAGAAGAGAGGGCCAAGGTGCGATCCCTGGGGAACGCCAGAGGGAATAGATACAAAGTCAGACTTAAACCCACCCAATACAACAGCCTGAGAGCGATTAGTTAGATACGATTCAACCCACCTAAGTAGGTCACCGTGAATACCTAACGCGTACAGCTTACGTAACAGGATGCCGTGGTCTACACGGTCGAAGGCCTTTTCAAAATCTGTGTAGACCACGTCAACCTGGCCACCATTTTCCATTTCGCCTACCACATAATCTGTGAAACAAGCCAAATTTGAAACCGTGGAACGTCTTTGCATGAATCCGTGCTGAAATTCTGGAATGCCAAGACTAACAACTGGGTAAATATTATTAAAAATTAGTTTTTCAAAAACCTTGGCTACACAGTTTAAAATGGAGATAGGGCGATAATTATCTATTTGAGATTTGGAACCTTTCTTGTAAATAGGTATGACGTGCGCTTTTTTCCAAAGAGAGGGAAACATACAAGTTCTTAGTGAGTGTTGGAACAGTAGAGCAATAGGGTGCGATAAACTCTCAGCGCACGCTGACCAAAAGACAGGAGGAATTCCGTCGCAACCAGCACCCTTATTTCTATCCAAACGTGAGAGGTGGTTAAATACCGTTTCTTTAGAGACAGTTATGTTAGAAATAGTGTCGCAGGCCTGGTAATTGAACAGTGGAGAATGAGTGTCAGACTGCGACGAGGACCGACCCCTAGTAAAGACGCTGTCAAAAAAGTTATTGAAAGCAGTGCATATTGCCTGACCGTCATTATATTTTGTATTTCCCAAAGTGAAATGACGCGGATAAGCAGAACCAGCTTTTTTTGACTTGACGTAGCTCCAAAAGTATTTAGGTGCTTTCCTTATGTTGTGTTCAGCATTGCGTGTGAAGTTGTCAAAACACTGAACCTGTACTCGATGTTGCCTATCCCTCAGAAGCTTAAATTCATCGAAGTCTCGAGGATTTTTAAACAATTTCCATTTTTTATGTAACTTATCTTTTTCGCGAATGACCTTAATTAAAGAATGACTATACCATATGGGATAGGAATTATTTCGCTGACTGATAAGGGGTACAAATAGAGTAATACTATTTTTTAATTTTTCATAAAATAAATCAACCGCGTCGTCAACACAATCAGTGCCCGACAACAATTGGTCCCAATTAATATTACTCAAATATTTATTGATATCTTCATAATTACATTTGCGGAAGTTTAATCTACATATTTTGTTCGTGATAAAAGAGCTAATATACAAGTCTACAATGTCAATAGAAAGAGGTGGGTGAAATCTATCAATTTTAGTTAAACCGCTAGTCACAGAAACGTTTAAAGGTAAGTTTGAAAAACAAAGATCTAAAGTGTTGTCACAGTTATTAAGTGTATAGTTATATTGGACCAACCCTAATAAGCTTAAGTCTTCCACAAATGCACAAGCTCTGTCCTGTACCAGGCTGCTACCCAAATGTGTGAGGGACCAACCATTCCTACACCAACGTAAACAGGGTAAATTAAAATCACCTACAAGAAAATAATACGCGTCTTTGTATTTACGAAATAAAGTGTTAAAGTTAATAAAGTAATTATTTAAGTTAGTCGGCAGATTAAATTCGTCAGGTGGCATGTATGATAAAACAATAATTAAATCCGCTGAAGTGCCAAGAGTCCGTGCCGAGATCTTCAGACAAACAAATTCATATTGTGAATTACCCAGCCAAGCGGTGAGCGCGACCGCGCATAGCTCACGGCGGACACAGCACACAACGCCGCCGCCAGTCCGCTTACCAGTTACATCCAGATTTCGATCGCAACGAAACATCTCATACCTACCATCACAGATTTCTTCGTCTAATATATCACTCTGTAGCCATGACTCGGTTATAAAAATAATGTCGTATTCATTTAAAAGAATGTTATTGTACAAGTCAAGACATTTTGTGCGTAAACCACGGACGTTTTGGTAAAAAATATTTAGTCGTTTGCTATCCATTAAGGTGGCCATTTTAGAGGTCTACAGTAATATGTACATAACTTTTTATAACAGGAACAACATAAATGGCAGGAATAACAGGTACAGAAAATATAATTATATACTGAACAATGATAAAATACGTGAACGTAGTATAAGATTAGAAATATTTTATATAGTAAAAAATAAGATAAATAATATGTGGGTATATTTAATAATAAGAGGCTACGATATTTTATATAAATGTTACATAGCGGTTTACCAATCATATCAAGCGGGTTGTAAGATTTAAAACAACCAATCAACTTATATTTGTTAAATATGAGATTATGGTACAATAACAAACATTCCCCAAACAAAAAAACTAGAATAATTAGTCATACAATTTTACGGAGATCAGCAGGGGATATGATACGAATTGACGCGGAGGTGTCATTCTTCCTGACGAAGATTTTTCCATCACGTATCCAAACAAACTGGTACTGCGCAGCGGCTGCCTTTTGCCGTGTATTCTTGTGTAACAGCTTGTTGGCAGGCGTGAGGTGTTCGTTTACAAAGATCCTTCTCAGGTCACCCGTGATGCCGAGGTCGCTCGTGCTGAGGCCCTTCCTGGTTCTAATAGCAGACAATATGGTATCGCGTAGGAGGCGTGAGTTGAGTTTAACCACAATGGATTTAGGGCGACCAGGTACTGGATTGACTGGGCGTACTCTTGTCGCATGCACGACATCGGTCGCTGAGGATTCTATTTCCAAAAACCTTACCATAGTGCAGTAATAATCAATAAGTTTCTCGTTAGACCTTTCAGGAACACCATTTATCTCAAGATTAAACGCACGGTCACGCTGTTGTTGATTATTGAGTTCCACTTCTAAATTAGTTATGTGCTCCTGCATTCGAGTTATATCCGAGCTGTGGGTTGTATTTGATTTGAAGATGTCATCAACTCGTTTAACCAAATTAGCCTGAAGACTATCCTGATGTTCAATCGCAGTCTTGACCGATTCCATATCCGTAAACAGCTGAGATTGATTAACATCAATAACTGAAAGCTTAGACTTAATGTTGTCTAGGTCGTTTTTTATCACAGTGTTAATGTTTAATTGAATGTCAGAAACCTTGTTTTGGAGATCTGTCATCATGGAGGCAAGCTTAGCAGTCAAATCCGATGAAAACCTGTCAAACAGCTCATCCAAGCTGCTGTCCACTTGCTTGCGCTTGCGTCGAATAATATTCACAGACTCAGCGTCTTGTAAATGCAGTTTGTGTAGCTCGGGTTCCGATGCGACCGATACCGGTTGTTTAGACATAATTATAAATACCTTTGTATAACTTTTGGAATAGTTACAGGTGGCACAGTATCACTTACACAAACAAATAGCGCACACAACACAGACGACTAGGTTTGACAGTTCGCGGATACTACCAGCGACGCGAGAACGGCGCAGCAGGTGCAGCGGAAGAGAGACGAATAATTTCACTTAATTATTATGTACTTGACCCGTATTCAAAACTGAAGCGTATGCGCACTAAGCAACGTACAGTTCACAATGCTAACTGCTAACACAAATATCAGTTAAAGAAGCACACGTCCACCTCGAACAAGTAATGAAGTGGAATGAAGGTATAGTAGGCCAAAACCTCCTTTCAGACCCAGAGGCTTATGTCCAGCAGTGGATTATTAAAGGCTATTGATGTGATGTGATGTGTAATATATAAGTATGAAATATTAAAAAAAAAATTATTAACCTGAATGTTACGACACCAAACTTCATACAAAGCTACAAAGGGACCATAGTCAAATTGTTGTAACAAAAACTGAGAAATTTTAAACTTATCAAAACTCCAAACAATTGTGATAACATTATAATAATACCTTCTAGATATAAAGTCATTTATTCTTCTTCTTCTTCTCAGACGAAACACAAATAATGTATTAACTCCACCTAAATATAGAAATATTTCATCATCATCAACAGCCTTTAGAAATACACTGCTGGACATAGGCCTCTCTTTGTAAACGAGGTTCTGGCCTACTATACCACGCTAGCCAGACGGGTTGAATATAAGATTTGTGTTAAGTTTTTCTTCTCTTTGCAGTGCTGTTTGCTCCCTTAATGGACTCCCACGGGATGAATAGGGTTCGTGACGCTCTTAATCCGTCGCCACACAGGCATGAAATATTTCACCTTTTCAAAAAAGCATAATAAATATAGAATACAATACCATATTAATAATACAATTATACCAACAGGAGACGAACGGATGTCATGTTCCTCTGACACAAAGGGAGGATACGCTGACCAGGCGAGATGATCATGCCTTGCGAGTCTCTGCTCAACGGTTAATGTTTGCAAGTTGTAAACAAGATTAGCAGTTACTCCGGTGGATAGCACTGGTTTTGTTTCATTGTATGTGAAAGACGCCACAGTAGTACTCTCTAGTTATATAATGGCCTTTTTTGGTAAATATCTGCTAATAACAGATGAAAATTAACCTTGTCTTATAGTTCCTTTGATCTGTACCATGGCTAGAGCACTGTAGTAATTGTTGTTGAAGTCAGGATGGTAGGCATATTCTAGGACACGAAGATGGGGTCCAAGAGTGCAATTGTGGCCCAAGACCACACGCGATTTTTCCCTAAAATTATTTAAACTTATTAAATAAAAAAAGTAATTAAAAATTATTGTAAACTCTGTATTTCATTGATCTGTAAAGTCTTGAAACTAATTACTTTTCACAAAAATTTAAAAGAGATGATTTTATAAATACAATCCCAAGATAATTAATAGTTAATTTTAACAGAAATACATATAAAACTTACCTGAAATCGACTTTTGAAAATTTGTCTATTTCTAAAGCAGTTGCTAGCGCCAGTTGTTTAGTTATAAGCACTACCGTAGACGTCTGTGGCATTTCTTCCTTTGTATCTATTCGTGACCAAAAAAATAAACATATATCGAATAATCACATTACACATTGAATTTATAGAAACATAGACATATTATGAGAGCTGGTATCGTAAAAAGAGCTGAGAAAACTCTGACTTACACTGACTTGTATAATTCATCAACTAAAAATATAAGTATGTGGAACAAAGTAGTTTATTTACTAATCACAGTCTACTCAAATCCAGAAAAAAAAAACATGACAAGTCTTTGAGAGAAAGAAGTTTTATTCTGCTAAAGACATTTTATCCATACGTATTATTAGAATGAAGTAACATTGGCCAGCAAAAATGCATATCTAATGATAACTAATCCTGATTGCTAAGCCGGATTAGGTTTGATTCCCATCCAAGCCAAAAATAATTCTGTGATGGGAATCATCATTTCTTCTGTTTGTATCATTCAGATGTTTGTAGTTAGAAATACAAAATGTTTCTTTTTGTTCCAGTCTCAGTTTCCATACAGGCTCTGCCTAGTTTAAGATCAGACCTACAGCCTACAGCCAGGTGAAATTTTTCAAGTTTATGTCATTCCTCATTATGAGTCTGAAACTCAAACTCAGAATCTAATAAAGTGTAATTATAATAAGTCGAAAGGTCAATTAAGACAGACAACATAACTATTAGTTAAAGAAGTATTTAAAGAATTCCTCACAAATCCAGTGATATCTAGTAAGGTTTTTTTACTGAAATAAGATAAATGTAATAAAATCGTATATTATTTTTCTAAGTGCTATAAAAATCAGGTGCAGTACTCTTAATCTAAATTCAAGATTATATGTTGATCTTATCCTTATCCGCTCAAGAAACTAAAGGTCTCACCATATGGATATATCAATAAGCCCATCCATGGATACCATTCAATATTAGCGACCCCTTCTGCCACTGTCTTTTCTGGTGCTCTGTCGATGCCACATGAACGGATTTCTTCAGCTGTATAATCATAATTGTCATTTAAAAATGTTCTATCTACAGTGTAAATTTATTTCTTTCCATATATTGACACGTTTGACTGACTTAATTAACGTTTAACTAAAAGTATGATGCAGTAATAGGTTACGCTACCCAGTGATTAGAAATAGGTACAAGTAAAAAAGAAGTATTTATCTTATATATAGAATTCTCGTGTCACAATGTTAGTTACCATACTCCTCCGAAACGACTGTACCGATTTTTATGAAATTTTGTGTGCACGTCAGGTAGGTCTGAGAATCGGTCAACATATATTTTTCATCCTAATTTTTTTTTAATTTCCTAGATATAATGTAAATGGCAAAACAACGTTTGCCGGGTCAGCTAGTGTTTCTATAAAAAAATAACATCTACCCCAATAGAAAAATGTCCTTACAAACATACACGAAACGGACATAAAGAACACCCAGCCTCAGAACAACAATTTGTGAATCAGACAAGGTGATGTCCCATGTGGGTGTCGAACCCACAACACTCAGCGCAGTATGAAGCGATGAGGTGACCGTTTAAACCACTACGCCATCCATGCAGTCAGATATTGCTGTACTTTTACGGTGGAAATATTCCTCTAAACTCTTCACTCTTGGCTTGAAAAGAAAAAAGCAGAGAACATGATGACCTTACAAAAAATAAATTAAGATATACTGAATTAAACAAGTTTATCTTTTAGAGACGACCAACTAGAAAATTGACCATTCTGAATCTTTAATGAGTGAGGTATACTGTAGCTAAGGAGACACTCCATTTCTCAAAGCCAACTTCTGGTCTGTTATAAGACTTTGCAAATTTATGCAAGACCTAGAGCTAAAGAAACCAGAATTCACACATACATTAATAAGGCACAGTCAATAACAAATGTTTCCTCTTTAAAATACAAAATTCAAGGCAAGTAAACAAGAAAAAAATGTACATACCTAAACACTTCATTTAAAAATGCCTTTGAAAAGCATTCATATTACTTACATTGGAGAGACTGCAATTTAAGTGGCACAAATATAGTTTGAAATAAGCGGTATGCAATTTACAGTAATTAATTAAGTTTCTGCGTTTGTAAGTTTCCACTTCATGCTTTAAATAACTTGACGATGTCAGTATCCCAAATATAAATAAACTGAAGGACTAAACCTTGTTGCTGAATAATTATTAAAGTTGATTTTGATAACAGGACACATCCAGCAATCTACACTAATGTGATGAAGAGGAAAGATTTGATTGTTTGTTTGTATTGAATAGGCTCCGAAACTACTGGACCGATTTGATAAATTCTTTTACCATTAGAACCCGAAATTATCCCTGATGAACAAAGGATACTTTTTACCGCGGGAAAATGCTGCATTCCTACGGGAAAACGGATAATAGGACAACTGGTGGTAAGAATTTTTCTATAGTACTTATCTTTTTCAGATAACTTCTAAACGGCTGCACCGATTGGGTTGAAATTTTATATGGGTATTTCGATAGTTTCCTGGATGATTTAAAAATACAATTGTGGTGGTGCTGCTGTCGGTATGTCAACTACTAAACCAATGTGTATTTCCATGGTTTCACAGACACGAATGCCACAGATATTATGCCTACATAATCTATGAAAAAAAATGAACCGCCGTAATGTTATGTACTGTACGCGCTGTTATATTCAGAACGATTGCAGCAAATGTCTTATTTTTTAAATGGGTACAGCAACCGTGCGAAGCCGGGCCCGACAGCTAGTTTAATAATAAGAGATTAAAAACAAAGTAATTGTCAGAAACCGCTTACTAAAAGCTTAGTAGTGTTAAATAAAACGATTCAGGTCTTACACTCTCTGATGAACTATTCATTTAATATTTCATTTGTGTGTGTGTGGTAGAATATTATTATTATTATTATGTCATTTTATACCTTGTCTGGTCTCCCTCTTATTTTAAAGGGGTAACAAAATCTAACACACGGGCCTTAGCCAAGTGTGCCAAAAAGGGATGATGATCTGAAGTTAAGATGATGAGGATGAAGCGAGAAATTTGCGTGTGAGACGGCATGTATTAAGAAGGACTGCTTTTTGTAAGATATTATTTGCATATTGGTTAGGTGCATTGCATTTGCATATTGGTAATATGTGCATTTTTAATTAAAATTAAAATTACTTACATACAAATCTTTTCGTATATAAACAAAATATTAAAACACTGAACGTTCTCATTTGAAAATACTTAAATAAAATATTGCTCTACAAATCGATTAATTTGACTTTTGAAGCCTTATCAAGATCGATAATATTAAAAATAATATTAATTATATATTTTAATAATGAATTACGATTAGATAAGTTTAAAGTATCGCTAAACACGGAACTGGCACTAAATTTATACAGTATCTACGCTATTATAAGTATAAAACGCCACATATATACTCTTATTGTATTATCATCACCAAGCCTTGATCATCTTCACAGATGAATCAAATTGTGTTTTTAAAAACGAATCACAGAAGTCACAACAGAGCATTTTCTTACTTTGTATCTAATTACTATTTATTTGTAAATATTTAATGTTTATACAATTCTTTTTTATTGATAGTCTTATGTTTCATAAACTTGTTTTCATGGAAATCATCCAAGTAATTTAAATACTGTATCGTGTTTCAATTTCAGAAGTGCTGGATAAAAAAGGTTTTACATCAACGAGATCAAGAACAAGAGGAACTAAAATTTTTAACTTCAGTGAGTTTAAGATGGTTGTAGATCTGCATAGGCATATAATAAACTTTCTATAGGTATACTTATAGGTATAGTGCCCGTGTGGTGGCGGTTTAAGAATACAGAGTGTCACCACCCCTATTCATCCCGTTGGTATCGTAAGAACAGTAAGGGGTAGTAAGGAAGCAAACTACGCAAGACAACAGCACTGCAAAGAGAAGGAGAACTTGAAACAAACCCTATACTGTCTGGCCAGTGTGGTATAGTAGGCCAAAATACTTCTTTCTAAGGGAGGCCTATGTCCAGAAGTGGACTATTAAAAGCTGTCGATGATAAACTAAATATTTGACAAAACAGATTGTTGCCTGTGTCGATCTAAGACTTAAGATTCATAGTGGTTTAAGAGTCGCGACGCAGCTTTCTACTACGCTAAGTGTTGTGGGTTAGGTCTCCACATGGGATATCACTTTGTGTGATTCACAAATTGTTGTTCTGAGTCTGGGTGTTCTTTGTGTCCGTTTCATGTATCTTTTTAAAGGCCCCCAAACATGATATATTCCTAATGCGAAAGTTGTCTTTAAAAAAAAAGAAAGGGTTAGTTTCAGAGAAATAAAACCGCAAACATAATCTTGCTTAACTAAAGTTTAACGTTTCAATCGTGATAGTATAGTAGTAATATTCGCAGACGACCCATTATCTGGCATCAAAACGTGCCGATCTCGTGCCTCGGGATCAGATAACTCCACTTGCATTGAAGTAGTCGAGCCAAGTAGTCTCGCTAAGTTTGTTCACCTCCATTGTGTGGATTAAAGCAAGGATGCCTCAAAAGGAGGAATAATTTATGAGGTGTACTATAACTGACGGGCCTGTTGGTTTAGTGGTTAGTGGCCCCGACTGCTAAGCTGGAGGTCGTGGCTTCGATTCCCACCAAGGACAAATAGTGTGTGATGATCACGGTCATTTGTTATGTGTCTGGGTGTAATTTATCTATAAAATGTATGTATTTAAAAATATATAAGTATGTTTATCAGCAGTCTGGTTACCATAGCACAGGCTCTGCCTAGTTTGGGATCAGACGTCCGTGTGTGAGATGTGTGAGGTTATTATTATTATAATTGAGGAGATTGTCTGGACTTTAACTTTTAAGAGAAGATATTCTTTGAGTTTGTTTCGTCCTTTCTCTTCAAGGCTTTCTTCTAAATACATACATATTATAGATAAATTACAACCAGACACAGAACAAATGACCATGCTCATCAGACAATTATTTGTCCTGGATTTGAATCGAACCCACGACCTCTGACTTAGCAGTAAGGGTCACTA